CAGGCTACACGATCTGGCGGTGTTGTTGTTATTGTTGGCATGGGACCGCCTGAAATGAAGCTGCCCCTGTTCAATGCCTTGGCTCGAGAGGTAGACATTCGCGGTGTCTTCCGTTACTGCAATGAGTGAGTGGAAACCTAAGTCTATCTAAATATACAGGCTAACAAGTTCTTTGTCATTGTAGCTATGCCGCTGCTTTGGCCCTGGTGGCCTCTGGAAGAGTGAATGTAAAGCGACTTGTCACCCACCACTTTGATATTAAGGAGACACAAAAGGCATTCGAAACAGCTCGTAGTGGTACGGGCGGTGCCATCAAAGTTATGATACATGTTCAACCTAGGAATGCCAACAATCCTGTAAAATTTTAGCTCAGAGATTTTAGTAAGCGCTGGAATATAATTCTGAAAACATGTAATACGTAGTTTTAGAAGAAACAATAAATTTATTTGCTTGGTACAAAATTAACCGTTTGTTCTTATAGTTTCAAAATTACATTTGCATTTTATGCGCTTAGTTTCGGTAGTTTAAATTAGGACTCAAGCAAAAAAAAAAAAAATAAATAAAAAAGGCGCACAAAATGTCCAACTTGCTGTATTGGCGGTTATCTCGACCCCTCTACACCTACTTATCCGTTAGATTTGTTTGTTATCGTCCATTGGCTCCAATGATCCGATACTTTCATGAAGATAAGACTGAGGAGTTCAAAAAACGCCTGCGACAACGAATGAAAAAGAATGTTGAACTAAAAGACGATGCTGCTAAGGCCAAGCAAAAAGCAACCACCCATACTACCATAGCAGAGTCCGCCAGCTTATCGAAAGTGAACGAAACTAAGCCATCGACCAGTATTAATATAAATGAGAACAGTCCAAACCTATATGGCGTTGAGTGCCCTATTCAACCGAATGTCGACTCTGACTGTTCAGCAGTTTCCAGCTCTTCGATTTCAAATCCATCTCAAGATAAGGATATCGAGTCGAGTGTGGAGACATTTGAAATCAGGGCGAAAGCATTTGTTGAATCAGCCAAACATAAGGAAAAGGAATCTGAACGCCCAACAGATGAACAGCCTTCGAAAAATAGTCCAAAAAAGAAGCCAAAGTTTTCTCCAAGTACTTCAACACCAATTGATTTGAAAAGTGCCGACTCACCCAAAAAGGATTCGCATGATCCTATGAAGGAAAAAAGTAAAAGTTTTCCCCTATTTAGACCTGAAACAGAAAACGAATCATCTGGTTTAAAAATATCAGCAAAAGCTGAGAAAACATTGGAGTCTCAAAAAGATTTCAAAAGCTATGGGTTGAACGAATCAATTAAAATTGAACCTTTCAACTCAAGTCAAAGTGTTTCGCATGAATCAGTGGAGCAAAAGGGTGAAAGCTCTAACCTATTTAACCTATCTAGAACTCAAGTAAATAAAGAAACGGACATAACATCAACAAAAGCTGAGAAAACTTTAGAATCTTTAAAGGACTTTAGGAGCGAAGGCGGAAAAGATTCATTTAAAATGAAATCTCAAGTCCCATGGGAGGGAATGTTCGATCACCATACTGATCGCTATATTTCTAAGACCAAGCTGCGAAAAGAAAGCAATGAAAAGACTGTAGGTTCCAAAGGTGAGAGATCCAAGCATATGTCTATGGATGGGCCAAAGGGGCAAAGCATGATTGAAGAAAATAGAATTGAACAATTATCTCAAGCAGAAGCGGAAGCGGAAGCGAGAGCTGAAGTCAAAGCTGAAGTGAAAGCCCAAACGAAAGCTGAAGCGAAAGTGGAAGCGAAAGCCGAAGCGGAAGTCGAAGCGGAAGCCGAAACGGACGAAGAGATGAAAGTAGAACCGAAAGCAGAAGCGAAAGCGAAAGCAGAAGCGGAAGCGAAACTGAAAGCTAAGGAGGAAGCAAAAGCTAAAGCGGAAGCGAAAGCTATAGCGGATGCCGAAGCAAGAGCTAAAGCGAAAGCTAAAGCGGAAGCGAAAGCTATAGCGGATGCAGAAGCAAGAGCTAAAGCGAAAGCTAAAGCGGAAGCGGAAGCTAAAGCGGAAGAGAAAGCTAAAGCGGAAGCGGAAGCTAAAGCTAAGGCGGAAGCGAAAGCTAGAGCAGAAGCGAAGGCTAGAGCGGAAGCGGAAGCAGAAGCTAAGGCTAAGGCGGAAGCAAAAGCGAAAGCAGAAGCTAAAGCGAAAGCGGAAGCTAAAGCTAAAGCGGACGCGAAAGCGAAACTGGAAGCAGAATTGGTTGCCGCAGCAAAAGCAGAAGCCGAAGCAAGAGCAGAAGAAAAAGCTAAAGCGGAAGCGATTGAGAAACTGAAAGCAGAATCGGCGGCCGCAGCAAAAGCAGTTGCCGAAGCTAAAGCGGCTGTCAAAGCAAAATTCAAATTAGAAGCAAAAGCAGATCGTGCTCAAAAAGAAATTGAGTCTCAAGCTAGAGTGAAGGTGTTAAATGAAACAAAAGCCATACAAGGACAGAGTAAAAGCAAGTCTGAAGAAACTCAACAAGAAACGGGAAATGCTCTGAGTTCTAATAGCAAAATTTTCAATGTAAAGAATACCACAATCCAAAAGGAAACTAAACAAACACAACAAACATCAACGGACACAAGTTTGGATACCCAAGGCAAAACTGAATCGACACAATCTCAAACAATTTTGGATGCTGAAGGCAATAAAATATTAGTAAAAGGCGCAGTAAACGAGCTGTTTAGAGGTGAGGCTGAATCCTCAAAGAATGTGCAGAAGCGATCCACTTTTAAGGCGAGCAAATGGAATGCCAAACACCTTTTTAAAGAAAAAAAATCGAAGAATGAGATGAAATCTCCTAAAGTGGACAAAAGCTTTAAGCCTATTTTCAAGCCTACTCAAAACAGGCTAGCGACGAAATCAATCATATTAATCAAATCTGTACTGGATAATTCCAAGAGCTCTATTAAAAATAAGGAAGGGTTATCTAAAGCAAAAGTCTCTCAGGGCACAGCAAGTAACGATGGCGTATCGACCAAATCTGAGAACGAAACTAAATCTACTAAAGCTGAAAAGCCCCTCCTTAAGAAAAAAGCTTCTCAAGGCCAGCTGGGGATAAAGTCAAGTACATCGATCAAATCTATATGGAATACAAAGGATAATGCACAGAGTTCACTTAAGGATAAGCAAGCATCAAGCTACGATGGCGTACCAGCAAAATCTGAGAATGAAACTAAAACTATTAAAGTTGAACAAAATCTTAAGAAAGAGCTTGGTCAAGGTCCACTGAGCACGATCTACAAGAGCAGCATAAAAGCTAAAGAAGGGTTCACCAAAGAAGGATCTCCTCAGAGTGCGTCAAGCAAAAAGAGCGCAACAACTAAATCTGGTACCAGTGCTAACATTGAAAAATGGCTATCAAGAGCTAAGCAACTAAAGGATACCCAGGCAAGACGCTTTTGGAAGAAAAACAGTACAGTAGATTTATTTCGAGAAGCCTTCAAGCCAAAAGATCCATCTATTCAACCTAACAAAGAAACGAAGACCGACAGCCCAAACAGTCACAAGAACCCTACATCATCTTCATCGACAGTTATCAAGGATTCGTTTGAGTCGGTCGACCCCGACTCATCTAATTTAGATAATAAAATCTCGGATGATACAATCAAGGCTAAGCCAATTGATTTAGTTGCATCAGGCAGTTCAGTTGTAAATAGTGGACAAACTCAATCAAAACACGTTTTTAGTCCAGATAGTATCAACGTAGATTTTAATGAAGGTGGGCTAAACTTAAATCAGGCCGCTTCATGTCATCCAAAACCTGAAGCTATATATTACGGATTCAAATCCCCTGAGGACAACAAATCTTCTGAAAAAATTGACAATAAGAAAAACAACACCGTCGAATCGCTTCTTCTAAGCAACGCCAAGAGCCCATATAAGCCAAAGCCAAAGACATATAAACCTCGTCCGATCACAATTGGGGACATCATCGCAAAACTTAGGCAAAGAACTAAAAGCGAAAAGATTAAGGCAAAGAACATTCAAAGTCTAACTGAAAGTGGCAAGTTTAGAGAAGAGTCCAAGCCTGGTAAAGGGAACCTTACCAAGTCATCTCTAACTGGAACGCCAACCGACGAATTCTCTAAAAAGCCAGTAAGTGATAATACGTGCGATCAATTATTCTCCAATTCGATAACAAGTAATACAATTGCTAGTAAAAGAGCAAATGAAACCCCTTTTGAATCTAGTGATATTGATCAGAGCTATTTGTGGCCACCGTCGCAATCGGTGGGAAATTCGGATATAGGAAACACTATAACATCTTACCCAAAAACGCAGTGCGTTGCTTCTGACGAGATCCAGATTCACAGGAGTTCCACTAATGCAGATGTAACTAGTTTAGGAAAATTTGTAAATGTTGACCAAAATGATATATTAGACACAAGTAAAATTGTAAATAAGGAACCGACAAAGATAACCAATATGTCAACGGATGACTTCTCGCCAGATAAGCTATATAATTCTAAAACAGAAGGTGAATATCGTACCGCAGATATGTTTAGCGTTCAGGTGGAAGAGGAATCATTAAATTTAATGCCCGTCGACAAAACAAAGCTCGGTCCCAAAGTAAAATCAGTGAAAAAGCTAGTAGATGACAAAAAAGTACAAAATGAGTCCGTACAATCGAAACCAAAGCAAAATTCAAAAGATAAAGATGATGTTGCAGGTATGTTAAATAATCGAGGAGAGAAGGGATTGGAAATGGAAAAGTCCAGATCAGACAAGGAAACAGAAAGTCAAGTAGAGGAGAAAATGGAATTGTTTGAACATGTGAAAGATGAGAAAAAACAGATAGAGCTGACTAGTCAACCAAAACGTAAACTGACGCTCACAGAATATCTATTTCAGTTCCTTAAAGGTCAACGAAATAGCAAAAACGATCCTGGTCGTAGGAATATCACAACTTCGGCTGCTCAATGCCAGGACACAGATGCGGACGATTATCGTTTAAGTAAGCGTATAATGAAGAAATATAATGTTAAGCCCAAAAAATCAATTAAAACAGAGACTTTCATTTCGCCGGATGTGAAGAAGCGTGGCATGGGCTCCAACATAATCCGTAGGCAACGCAAAAGTACGGAAACCAATCCAACAAAGCTTCCTCATGATAATCGGCCCAACATCGAACAGCCGACGATACCAAAGGCCACCAGTATTACTTCCGATACTGATTGGAATGTGGCCCCAAACCCGAGACCCGATGAAGTCTTATTGGGCTCTAAAAAGTCTGAAATAAATAAAAACTTAGATGATCGCAGTGTTGATACGACAAACATGCCTGATGGCTCTCCGCTCAAATTCGATGATAAAAGTCCAATTGATAAAGAAGATACAAAGAAGGAAACTAACAATATTGAAATTAAAGGTGGATCCAGATACTGCTTAATGAAATTGAAAGCTGTTAAGGGCATTGGAATAGACAACGAAAGTGGCAAGCGAAGATTCAGTGCCTTGGGTCGACAGCTGAGCCAGAACATTGGTAAGTATATATATACATATATTTGTATATATACATATAAACATGTATAGATTATAGACCTTAAACAGTTTATTATCAGATTAACACCATTAGTCACGCCCCCTTATTGGACATTCAATGTCATATCGAGGTGAATGACAGTTGCGTTGTATAGATTACCAGAATAAACTAAACTATAAATATTTAATATACACACTCAGCTACACACATATTTGCTGCCAGTGATTATACACATACAGACTATAAGACATTAGGTAATTAGGTCATTTATAAGTCAACATAATATCACTAACAATTATATTTTGTGGAAAGTTTTTGCTTTTTTCAGAACCGACAAAAATGCTAAGGACCGGTCTTAAATAATACCTTGCAACAACTAATGAAAAAAGTCATTAAACATACAAAAGAAACACAAAGACGAAGTCAAGCCTCTAAGCAATATATAATATTTGAATATTTCACGTTTTAGTGGCTTTTTTTTCAATAAAATTAAAAAGAATAAGTTATTTAATGAAGAATAAATCAGTTGGTGCTCTAAATTTATTTAACTGCAATCGATAATTATCGACTAGATAAACTAGTTATATATTTACTAAAATTTTGTAAATAGTGCTATAGTAAAATTAACTAGAAACCGTATATTTCAAATACTAGGGACATGTAACATGTTCTTAAGCAAATGTACGCATTATCACGGCCTGAAAGTTTTATAAATCTAAAAAAAAAAAAAAAAAAAAAAATTAATTATCAAACTCATATGCTTTTTTTCGTGTAAGTAGAAAAAAAATAGATATTTAAATATATACTCACTGTAATCATTTCCACTGAATAGTTCCCGTAAGTATTTACCCAAAGTAATTTCTCTAAGTGCTTCTAAGTATTTCCTTTATGTATTTCCTTTACGTTTTTCACTTACGATTTTCCGTTACGTATTTCATTAACGAATTTCTTCTAAGTATTTTCTTTACGTTTTTCTTTATGTATTTCTTTTGCGTTTTTCCTTTACGAGCTTCCCTTACGTTTCCTTTACGTGTTTCCTTTACGGTTTTCCTTTACGTGTTTCCTTTACGTTTTTCCTTTACGTGTTTCCTTGACGTTTTTTCATTACGTATTTCCTTTCCGTATTCACTTTACGAATTTCTTTTAATTATTTTCTCCAAGTAATTTCTCTAAGATTTCCTAAGTATTTTCTTTACGTATTTCTTTTATGTTTTTCCTTTACGTGTTTCCTTTACGTATTTCATTAACGTATTTCCATTACGTGTTTCCTTTACGTATTTCCTTGACGTATTTCTTTTACGTATTTCCTTTGCGTATTTCATCCAAGTCTTAAATGCTTGCACGCTTCAATTCACATTATTGCACTGCACCAGTGACCCCGACTAGGCCTGGGCGACTGAAGAAATGCTCCAGAAACGGCCCTTTATATAGGCAACTTTCACTCAAAGTGGTCATGGCACTCAAAGTGGTTATGGGAACACTCTCTGCTGTGCAAGCATTCTAGCTTTGTTTTACTCAAATATAATTACGAAATGAGAACGGCTGCATGCAAAGAGACCCTGAGCCCTTTGAAAATGGGAAATCATGCTATATTGTACGATGTACGTCAATTTATAACTACCCACGAAATTCTAATCCCGCCGATTTGATTCTTTCTTTAAGCTTTTATTATGTTGTGCCTTTATAAATAGGAGTACAGGGAATATCCTAGGGCACCTCACTTAATTAAAATCAGATTAAAATCATATTAATTATAACTTCAAGCCCATTCAGTTGAGCAGCATTGCATATATTGCTCAGGATGTCTGCATTACGAGACGTCTTTTTGCCTGACAAAGCATTGTAGACTTTTAGCGATCAAGTTATCATATGAGATGTATATTAGTTCTTCGAATCTGAGTTTACCACATACAAATACTAAGAAGAATCAAAGCAGGCGCAACAGCGACCGTCACTTTAGGAATATTATTCGAATGAATGATATGTAGGGCACGCGTTAAAATTGTAAGTATTAAACCTGAACTAAAAATGCTTGTACGCTCTTTTGTAAGCTGCATTTCGCAAGTGTTCGCGAGGTCTTTCACGTCCTCGTTTGGCAATGGACTGATGAAAAAGATTGTGAGCTACCATGTCCTCATTAGGCGTGTTGCTTGCGACCATAGGAATGACAATAATGGTAGGCAGATCTGAGGTATAGTACTCAACTTTCAATTAGTATAACAATAAATACATTCAATTATTGTAGATGTCTCGCAAAATGAGACCAAACTTGCAATGGATAACCTCACGGCTGTTTTATACGGCATCGATGACATGCGCTTGGTACGACGCTTGGAGAAGCCAGAATAAAAATGGTTCTCTTACTTATTTTTTCCTTATTTCCATATACAGGAGCAACGCCCAATACCCGATATTTCCCCAGAAGGTAAATTTAAATTGTGATTGATTCATTCACCTACACCTTTCTTTTCCTACATACACAAATACATTAGAAGTTTTGATCGCAATGGATAGCGTCGGGATTTGTGGATCAGATGTTCATTATTTGACTAAAGGTCGCATCGGCCACTTTGTGGTGACCAAGCCCATGGTAATTGGCCACGAAAGCGCAGGTGTGGTTGCCAAGGTGGGCAGCAAAGTTAAGAATCTGGCTGTAGGAGATCGAGTTGCCATTGAGCCGGGAGTTCCTTGCTACAAATGCGATCATTGCAAGCAAGGCAGCTACAATCTGTGTCCCGATATGGTATTCTGTGCCACACCCCCTTACGATGGTAACCTGACCCGATACTATAAGCACGCAGCGGACTTTTGCTTTAAGTTGCCTGATCATGTCACCATGGAGGAGGGTGCGTTACTAGAACCTCTATCCGTGGGAGTKCATGCCTGCAAACGTGCAGGCGTCAGCTTGGGATCGAGGGTGCTGATTCTAGGTGCAGGTCCTATTGGATTGGTTACACTGCTGGTGAGTGGCCTTCCTCAACCATTCATTTGCAGATCAC